CACACACACACACACACACACACACACACACACACACACACACAAAGTAACAAAAAGTGTCTGGGTGAAAAAAAGGAGACAGGGAGGCAAAATGGTTAAATTAAAGAGTTTTATTAATGCTTCTATTAGTAACACTAGTACTGTGGGATCTAGCAATACACAAGTACAGTGCAATGCAAATACACAGCCCGAGTTTAAGTAAAGTCAAAACATTGTTATTGTATTAGGTCTTGTCTGTTAGTAAATCCTTAATAGAAAATTCTGGTACAACATATGCACAGCTATTTCTGGATCACAACACAGTCCTGGGCTAAGGCTAGAAAGGGAAGGGAACTGGCTGAAGTTAATAGAGGAAAGGGAAAGAAAGCTGAGGTTGTGGGTGAATGAAACAGATGATTGTTGCATGGTGGGGCAGGATGTAAGTACAGAGAAAGGAAGGAGCTAACAGGGAAGCAGTCTCCTCAATGCTCCTGTCACTATTGCTTTTTCTTCTTCTCTACCCATTTCTATTATTCTTGATTCTATTGCTCATCTTTTTCTTTCTAGAGAACTCCTGCTGTGTTTAAGAGTTTTGTATTGTTTCCTCATAATGAGGAATGATCATAATTCAAACAATGTGGAGAGCAACAGTGCTCCCTAAAGGATGAAATAATTATAGCTGTTTCATGGCATGACAGCTGTGTGAGCAGTCACTGATATGTGGTTTATTTGGTGCTCTCCAGAATAACTGCTGCTGTCTGCATTAGAGAAGGTTTTTGTTGAAGAAGGATAGTAGATGCAACACTGTGCAGCGCTGGCAGCACAGAAATACATGGCGCTGTCCACAGACTCTCTCAGCTTTGGAATGTGAAAAGTTGACAGTTTACTTCCTTCACCTGTCACTTTATAAATGTTTTCAAATGCATCTTCAACAGCTGTAAAGGTAAATCGTGCATAACCGAGTAGAATCATTTCATTTTTCCCCGGAGACTGCTTGTACCACTGTATCATATCCAATTTATTGTTTGAATGGTTGCAGTGTATTTGGATTTCCTCTCCTGGGGCCTTAATGAGGGCAGCTGGAGTCTGATGAACGCCAGATTTTGGGACTTCTGCAGAATAAAAGTTCAAAAAAATAAAAGCGTTAGAGGTAACAAAAACTTGAAATATTTTAAGAAGATTTTGTAAGTTTGAATTGAACATTACCTGTTAAACAGAACGACAGCGTTCCAAAATGGATGATGAGTCTGATCATGATCCTTACATTGATGAAAACAAAGGTGTGATGAATATGAACAGAGCTGCCTGAATGTAAAGGAAGAGGCGGGATCCACATTATGTGTGTCACTTCATCATCAATGCATTCTTCTGTGTGGGCTAACACAGGAAGAGATGGTTTTATGGCTGATATCACTGGTGATTTCCTGCCATAAACAGCAGCTAGATGCAGGTGCGCTCTTCCTTGCTGCTTATTTATGTGGCGTAATATCATGTAGGGTTTTTGTAAAAGCAAGACGTTAACTAGCTCACTGTGTATACTAGCTGCACAGTAATAACTACCGCTGTCTTCAGCTTTGAGTTTCTCCACTTCAAGCTGTGATTTTACTGACCCATCTCCACTAATTTTGAAAGATCCTTGGAATCCATCCTCAATGGTTGGGTTTCCATATAAAAGATGTCCAATCAGTTTAAGAGCAGAGTCACCCCTTGGCTTCTGGTACCACAATATTACGTTGTATGTACTCTCTGAATGGTTGCAGCTGATTCTTGTTTCACCATGAATACTTCCTAATATTGATGATGGAACCTGCTGAACTCTTGTGCACAATGAAGGACCTGTGGTGAAAGTGAAAAGCAATATAAAGTGAACCAAAGGAAAAATGCCAGTTGTGAGCAATAAGTTCAGTTTCAAACCTACAGAAGCAGAGAAGCAGAAGAATGATCCTGGTGATGATTCTCATCATAATGTCTTTATGTTCCTCTTTGTATCTGCACTGAGTGAGAGGCTGAGCACATGCTGTGGGTTACTTAAAGGGGAGGAGACAAAAATTATGATACCAAGAAGGTAAGGAACAGAATGTGCCAGTATTGAAGCAAGAAGGTTTCTGGCTTGACTGTCCTGGTCAGCTGGGGGTGTTTGCAGGTTCTTCCTGCAGCAGTGTAGGTTTTTCTGTGTACCCTTAAATGGAATAAACCGCTTATGTGTAGTGTATATTCATTACACTGTCTATCAGTGCTCAAAACTCAAAAAATATTTGGCTGTGTGATAGTTCACCCACTCTTTCTTATCAGTGTGTTATAAAGTATATAAATGTAATGATATAGCAACCAACTGTTATTGTAATGTTATAGCAGTCGGCCAGATTGCTGTACACTTATTTCTCTCGTTTTCAAAGGCACTATTCCCTGAAAGCTGTTGATACTAACTCATCTAAAACAAATATCATGGAACTAAAGCAGGTTTAAATACCAGAAACAGAGAACCAAGAAATGGATGATGATGATGATGATGATGATGATGATGATGATGATGATGATGATGATGATGAGAGCTGAGTTCATGTTGATCTTCTTTAAAAATTACTCTTACACTGAGATATTTTCGGGAGCTGTTAAGCATGATGCTGTGCTGCAAAAGAGGTAAATCATTACTGCTACCATGCACAATTTTAATACTAGGCAGTTTCAATTAGGCCGTGTGTCTTGTTGTACAACACAATCCAAATAAATGTGGCCTTTATTCACAGAAAATTCCCTTTTCAGGTACTTGTCTGCTTGTGACTATTCATAAAAAACTATCAAAACATAAAGTAAAACTCAGATGTAGTATAACATTTTATTAAAGTTGCTGTGTTAAACATTGAAATAAAGTGTAACTGCAATAAGACATTCTTATCTTAGATCATTAAAAAAGGAATGCTGAACCCTAACCAAGTCCTGACATCAGTAACAGGTACAGAGCTCCCCCTACAGACACTGATATCTTTAGTTTATCAGTGTGCTGTCTGTAGAGGGTATTTGTGCAGCTCTTTAATCCACCTGCATCACTGTGTTCACTCACAGAACAGAAATACACTCCACTGTCTCCAGGCACCAGCTTCTCCACTGTCAGAGATCCCGTCTGTTCATTGGTCTTTGTTGCTGGAAACTTTTCCTCACTGAAGCCACTTTCATATGTGTGAGTACTGTATGCAGTTGTAAAAACAATTTGCTTCATTCCCTTCCCTGGCAACTGCTGATACCAATACATCTGTCGATATGCAACCCCCTTAGTGTGGCTGCAGTTCATTGTGACAGACTGACCCTCGGTACTCCACAACAGGGGAGTCTGTGAGACATCGCTCCCACCAGTTAGACCTGAGAATTAAAAAGTCACATCATGTAACAAGACCTCCAACAACTTTTCTATATGTTAACTAAAAAAACAGCATAGCAGCTTTTACTGTAAAATAACAACTTGTAAAGTACCTCCGATACAGAGCAAAGCTGCAGAGAGTTTGATCAGAGCAGCTGTGATCATCACTGCGTTCTGAGCAAACTGAAATAGAAACCACAGTCAACTGTCAGCGGGTGTGATATATGCAGAGATACACGTGGGAGTGTCACATTACTGTGAGACAGTGTGTGTACGTACTTGAAGTTTATTTAAGTAGAGCAGATAATGGAAACTGGAATGGAAATTGCATGTAGGATTCTGTTCAGCTCTCTGCTGTGTCTGTATCACTGTGCTTGCTCACGACACAGAAATACAAGCCTCTGTCTTTTGGCTCCAGGTTCTTCACTGTCAATGTCCCACTCCCAGGAACTGACTTGCTGGCCGAAAATTTCTCTGTGCTTAAATTTCCATAGTCATAGTCATCACCATTTTTGGCTATACTTATGAACACAATTAGTTCCAGAGTTTGTCCTGGTAGCTGTCTATACCAGCACATCTGGAAATAGACATCACCCTTTGTGTGGTTACAGTACATTGTTGCACTTCCACCCATCCTTTCCCCCAGTATGGGAGTCTGTTGGACACCGCTTCCATCAGTACCACCTGCGTGTACAACAGTTAAAGTTAATCAAGTAAACTTTTTAACTCTTGCACTTGACAGTTGTCGCCTTCTGATAGCTGGAATATATAAATGCTGATCTTACAATATTTTACCCTCAACTAATGACAGGTTCATAAATGTTGTCACCTTATAAACTTTACCTTTAATCCAGAGCACAAATACCAACAGGCTGAGCAGACCGCATCCAATAACAGTCATGTTCTCTGTTGGTTTACTATAGTTACAGAGATAAGAAGAATTTCAAACAGGTAGTACAATGTATGATGTTCTTTGATCCTATAAGTTGGTGTAAGGAAAAAAAAAATCTGCTCACACGTCAAGTAAAATGCATAGATAAAAGCTGTACAGGAGCTCCCCCTACATACAGATCAGTCACATTGATTAGCTCAGTGGGCCAGGCTTGAAGTTCTGAGCTGAACAAAGCATTAAAATTGGCTTCAGAATCAGTCAGTTAACGAAGATAAAGAATTATGAAAAGTTTATGATGCTATCAGTTGAAATATTAAAATATCTGCTGTGAAGGCTGGTCTTTCATAAATATAAAACTGAAAGTTGCAAGAAATTGATGTGTTATTTTTAGTAATCAGACATGTATACTAGTTGGAGTACTTCAATTGTCATAATCAAGAAATGTTGAAACAAAATTATGTTTTCATAGCTGAATGTTAAGTTGATCTGACAGTTTGTTTTAGATGTGTTTTTTCCAAAATGGTTCAATATGTATGATAAGACACAGGCTAGGGTAATAACCATGTACTATTTCCCTGTAATCCCAGTCACTTTTGTACTGATACCAAAATTACTGGATCACTGTGTTGTTTGTGAGTGCTGAACACAGTATGGTCAGATAACTAACATTTGCATGGGTGTGTTACATCAGCAGAACATAGTTAGACCTTGGTGTTGTAGCTTTGGGCTCAGCTTTTCACATCACTCTTGGGAAGTGATGAGTAAATTTGTCCCCAGGCTCTACAGCTGTGTTTTGAGTTTAAACTGCAGGCAGCAGTGCAGATCAGAAGTGTGAGACGGTTTAAAATTTGGAACATAAACAAATCATCAAATGAGAGGTTGTGTTTTGCACATTCTGTGAAGAGACTAGGGAATTTTATGATGCCGTGCAGCTCACTCTATCTGCCTTAAAGAGCTTCAAGATTTGTCCCTCAAAACAGAGGGACATATTTTACAGGACTTCCAACAACTCTAAAATAAAAGAAATACATTCTAGCATAACTACAAAGGTAACATAAGAGCGTATCTTGTGATTTGTAATGCAATGTAAGGTAATGAACTTCCAGTATAGCATCAGTGATTATTCTTGTGATCTGAGCAAACTGCAATAGAAACAACAGGTCTAACAGATATATGAAGAATTGTATTTGGCAGTTCCACAGTGTTGTGTGGCAGTATTTGAGGTTTCCCTACAGATGATGGGAACTTTGCACTGAGGTTTTTGTTCAGCTCTCTTCTTTGTCTGTATCACTGTGTTGGCTCACAGCACAGAAATACCATCCTTTGTCTTCTGGCTTTAGGTTCTTTAATGTAAATGTCCCACTCTCAACAACAGGCTTGCTGGCTGAAAATTTCTCTTTGTCAAAATTGCCATAGTCGTGCTCATCATCTTTTTTCCCAGTTGTTGCAAACACAATTAATGTCATTGTTTCTCCAGGCAGCTGTCTGAACCAGTACATATACCTATAGGTAAAATCCTTTGTGTGATTACACTGCATTGTTGCACTTTCACCGTCCCTTTCCCAAAGTGTGGGAGTCTGTTCAACATCACTTCCATCAGTCAGACCTGTGTGTAGAACATAAGTTACATAAGTGTATATATTACATCTTGCGGTTATCCTTTTTCCCAAATGCTGTCACATTTCTGGGATATCTACTGATCTTAGAGTATTTTACCTTTTGTCCAGAGCACAAACACCACCAAGCTGAGCAGACTGTGACTGATAATAGTCATGATCTACAGCTAAGAGTCTTGTACAGTTTTTAGTGTAGTTAGGCTAATATGAAGACTTACAGGGAGGCGTGTCCCTGCAGTGAGTGGCATCCACTCATCCTGTGGGTTAATGCAAAATACTCTTTCTGTCTGTTAAAGTGTAGCTGTTTAGATAAAAGTCAGTCACACTAACAAGCTAAGGAGGCTGGGTTTGTTGATGATATCATTTAATGAGTGTAATGAAAGTGAATGTAATATATAAGCACAGGTCTGAGTTAATCTCTTTGGAAGAATACATGGAGGGTAATTATAGTTGCCCCTTATAGTTGTAATATCACAAACTACCTACCTGCTATTACCAGTTTTAATTCACTTTTTATATAAATGAATAAATCAATATGTGTTTGTAAAATGTATAAATATGTGCTTGTGAGTAACTTCAACCTGAATTTCTTTTCTTACTGCGGCCCACCTGCAGTACCTTCACGGACCACCTGTGGGCACTGGCCCTCATGTTAGGAATCACTGATTTAGTTCCTTGGTTCTACTTCTTGTTAGGTTAGCAGTTCACAGTGTTCCTACTAGTCCTGTTCTTCTTGCTTGTCCTTGTGTTTCTCCAGTTTATCTCAAGTATGACTGCTTTTAGACTTTGCACAGTCCAACCGCTCATCTGGTTTGTTTGCCACACTAGCTACCTAGCATGTTTGCCATTAGTCTGGATTGAAGATTTCGATTTTGTAACTCTGCTGTAGCATTGATGTTGATTCATAGCACAGAAATACACTCCACTGTCTCCAGACACTAACTTCCAGATTCTCAGAGATACAGTCTGAGCAGTCTTTGTCTTTAATGCTGGACTTTTTCCTGAATTAAAGCTAGTTTATATTTATGACTGACCAATGCAGTTATGAAAAAATGCATCCGTTCACCTCATGCAGCTTTTGATAACAATACTTCTGAAGATATGAACTCTCAGCAGTTGTGGACACGTCACCCCCATCAGTGAGACCTGTGGTGTTAAAAATCAATCAAAAAGTTATCTTATATATATCTAAATGCAGACTCAGAGAACAACATGAAAATACTAAACAGCTGTGATCATTCATGTCGAAACTGAAATAGAAAACACAGTGTGAGCGCTGAGAAGTCTGACATGACATACATATGAAGTGATGGAAATGTGGGAGTGTCACATTATTGTGAGACATGGTGTGGTTGTACTTGAGGTTGCAGACAATGGGAACTTTGCACTGAGGTTTTTGTTCAGCTCTCTGCTGTGTCTGTATCACTGTGTTGGCTCACAGCACAGAAATACCATCCTTTGTCTTTTGGCTTCAGGTTCTTTACTGTGAATGTCCCACTCTCAACAACAGGCTTATTGGCAGAAAATTTATCTTTTTTGAAATTTCCATAGTCGTGCTCATCATCTTTTTTGCCCGTTGTTGCAAACACAATTAGTGTCATGGTTTCTCCAGGCAGCTGTCTGAACCAGTACATCTAGCGATAAGTAGCATCCTTTGTATGATTACACCACATTGTTGCACTTTTACCTTCCCTTTCCCACAGTAAGGGTGTCTGTTCAACATCACTTCCATCAGTCAGACCTGTGTGTATAACAGTACTAGTTACATAGGTGGAAATTTAAATTCATGCAGTTGACAGCTTCATAAAGTTTGTTCATTTCTGATTTTTAGAATAATATTGGATTTTACCTTTAATCCAGAGCACAAATACCAAAAAGCTGCTCAGACTGTGTCCAATAATAGTCATGTTCTAAAACTGAGAGTCACATTCATCTACCAGTGTAGTTACACAGCTATAAAGAGTTGCAGGTAGGTGTGTCACTGTCACAGTGTGTGACATTCTGTGAAGTTGGTTGGTTGAGTTTGGTGACGTGAGAGTTGCTCAACTGAAGCAAGCGTCTCTTTAAAATTCTGGGGAATCAGGCTTTAACTGACCTGATACAACACATGTGGTCAGTTCTGATCTTGAACAACAATATGATAAGCACAATCCTTCTTAAAACAAACAGCTATCCGATTTAATTACATTTTTTTCAGGTAAATCAGGAGAAAGTGAGACCAAACTCAGTCTTCATTTACATTGTTTCCTGTGTTGGTTTTTATTTCACGTGTGTTGTTGGAAGGCAATTTCTAAAAGTTTGTTTATATATCGTGAGGGGTGTGTGAGCGTAAATATCGTACAATTAACACTGAAGGTAAGTATACTTTCCTCTTTGTCCAAAATTAATGTTGTGATTTGTTTGTGTATTTATGCTTATTTTTCTGTTCATTCTGACTGTAGCAGTACAAGAAAATTATGCGTCCAGATTGCAGAGGAGTTTTATGATTGCATACCCATAGTTACTGCAGATATTGCTTAGTATGACTGTAAATCTGAACAATGAGCATTGAGCGCCCCCTACAGATAATTAAACACACTGATGTCTTCAGTTCATTGTGAAACCATAGTCTGGGTATTTGTGCAGCTCTTTAATCCACCTGCATCACTGTGTTTACTCACAGCACAGAAATACACTCCACTGTCTCCAGGCACCAGCTTCTCCACTGTCAGAGATCCAGTCTCATAACTGATCTTTGTTGCTGGAAACTTTTCCTCACTGAAGCCACTTTCATAAGTATGCTGGGTTTTTGGAGCTGTGAAAACGATTTGCTTTATTTTCTGTCCTGGCAGCTGTTGATACCAGTACATCTGTGAGTAATCATGATTCTTAGTGTGATTGCAGGTCATTGTGGCAGACTGACCCTCTGACTTCCATAGCAGAGGAGTCTGAGAGACATCACTCCCATCAGTTAGACCTGTAGGTGTGAAAAATCAAATTATGATACAGTGCCTCATGAACACCACGAAATTTTAGCATTAGATTAAAGCTGAAGACACAGGTTATCTGGTCTTCAGCATCATGAGGAAACATACCTCCAAACCAGAGCAAAGCTGCAGACAGTTTGATGAGAGCAGCTGTGAACATCATTGTGTTCTGATAACACTGTGAGACCAGACTCAGTCTTTTTCTGTGTTGGGAGGTGTGGTATGACAGCCGAGATGAGTCACAGGTGGGAATGTGTTTGAATATTTTTATCTTGTAACACCAGGTGCTTCACTGTAATAATACAACCTTATGTGTGACTGCATATTTAACAGTGTGAAGCAATATTTTCATCTAATTGATCACTTCTGCTGCAATTCTCTTTGCACTATTTAATCTTGTTCTGTGATTTTGTTAGTAACTGTGCCAGAAACATGTATGGGGAAAGCCATTTATATCTGGGAATGTTTGTGGTGTCTGAGGTCCCCCTACCGTTTATGTCATAGTAACAGTTGTGCACTGAGGTTTTTGTTCAGCTCTCTGCTTCGTCTGTATCACTGTGTTGGCTCACAGCACAGAAATACCATCCTTTGTCTTCTGGCTTCAGGTTCTTTACTGTGAATGTCCCTTTATCAGCAGTTGGCTTGGTGACTGAGAATTTTTCTTTACTGAACTCTCCAAAGTCTTGATCATCATCTTTTTTTCCCGTTGTTGTGAACACAATTAGTTTCATTGTCTCTCCAGGCAGCTGTCTGTACCAGTACATCTGGAAATAGAGATCACCCTTTGTATGGTTGCAGCTCATTGTTGCACTGTCACCCTGATATTTCCACAGTATGGGGGTCTGGGTAACATCACTCCCATCAACGTGACCTATGTATGTATAACAGTACAGAATGCCATATTGAACTTTGATTGCTCACATCCTTCAGCATCATATCAAAATATGATTAAAGTATATTTACTGCAGCATGACAAATGCAACTCTATATAAGTTTGAATGTTGATTTTGCTGCAACTTACCCAATTCCCACAGCAAGAAGACTGCCAATGTGAAGAGAACCTGTTTAATGATGATGACTTCCATCTTTTGTTGCACAGAAACTGAGCCACAGTCTCACACAGATTAAATGAAGAGCTGCTGATGGGAGTGTCTCTGCGCTGTGAATTGTCAGTGATGTTGATAGCATACTGGTACAGTGGGTCCCCCTTCAGGACATCCCAGTACATTAACTTTAATTCTTTTCAGTACCTTTGATTATGGTCGTGTGAATTATTTTCAATAGTTTAGGCAATCTAGGATCATTATTGTGCTCTTAGCTAAATAAAATCGAAGACCACAATCTACTGGTGTGAGTGACGGAGGTCTGACGTTACTGCAGACACATTTGAGTGCATCAGATTATAGTGAGACTGTGTGTGGTTGTACTTGAGGTTTCCCTACAGCAGAGCAGGTAATGGGAACTTTGCCCAGAGGTTTTTGTTCAGCTCTCTGCTCTGTTTGTATCATTGTGTTTACTCACGGCACAGAAATACCATCCTTGGTCTTTTGGCTCCAGTTTGTTCACTGTGAATGTCCCAGTCTCAGCAACAGTCTTGCTGGCTGAAAATTTCTCTGTGTCGAAATCTCCATAGTCATGCTCATTATCTTTTTTGCCCGTTGTTGCAAACACAATTAGTGTCATGGTTTCTCCAGGTAGCTGTCTGAACCAGTACATCCAGAGATAGTCACTACCCTTCGTGTGATTACACTGCATTGTTGCACTTTGACCCTGCCTGTCCCACAAACTGAGTGTCTGCTGGACATCACTTCCATCAGCACCACCTGTGTGTAGAGGAGTGAAAGTTAAAGAAGTAAACATTTTAACTCTTGCAGAAGACAGTTTCCCAGAATGTTAGATTTCTAGAATATGCATGATAGTCTTACACTGCTACCTTTTATCCAGAGCACAGATACCAACAAGCTGAGCAGACTGTGTCTGGTGATAGCCATGTTCTAAAACTAAGAGTGTCTTTATTCTGTCAGTGTTTACACTGATATGAAGAGTTACAGGTAGGTGTGTCACTGCAGTGTGCAACATTGATCACGTGGGCTGATGTAAAACATGCTTTCTTTCTATAGGCTGGGTTTGTATATAAATATGAGTATAGTAAGAGTTGAAACTGATTTTTGATTAACATAATTTTGCCAATAATTAATATATTTTTTATCAATATAAATTAAAACAGTGTAATCAGTAAGTCTTTGAATGTGGTTGGTGCAGGTGATTGTCACTCTTCTCTGAGAGATGCAACAAGTTAATTGTAGTTGTTATGTTTCATTTTAATATTCAGACTATGTTAGGAATATATCAAAGAATACAGTACACAAACCAAAAAGAATGTAATTTAAAAGCAAAAATACTCTAATCTCTTTAACAGTAATCTGTTTAACTTGCAACTTGCAGAGGTTTTTGTTCAACTCTCTGCTGTGTCTCTATTTCGACAGTATGGGGGTCTGTCTGTCATCATTCCCACCAACACAACCTGCGTGTGTATAACAGTGCAGAATTCCATATTGTCACAGCTTCACACAGATTAAATAAAGACCTGCTGGTGAGTGTGTCCCTGCACTGTGAATTGTCAGTAACTATGTTGGTGTGGTGGTATTGTGGATCCCCCTTTGGTACATCCCAGTATATTTGATCTCATCATGCAATACGATTGGTTATCTATTTTTTCTTTTCAAAATCACAGACACACATTAGTGCTTAAAGATGTAAAGAATAACACTTACCATCACAATTTAGTAATAATGTAGTAACAGTAGACTAACTATGTGGAAACAAGAAGGAAATATTGAAGTCTGTGAAGTTTTTATACATATAAATTGTTCTAATTGAATAAATAAATACAATGAATGCACATTAACAGGCTTCTATATATTTCACATATGGCTCAAATGCCATTGTAAAAGCTTGAACCATCAGATTCCCCAGCTTCCCTAATCATTTTTTATTATCTTACATCTAGTCCAATATACATTAAACAAGAAAAATGAAGACTGTTTAAAACATAAGATGAGAAAACGCTGACACTTCTGTGAAAGTAGGTGAGAACAGACACTATGGCATTATAGAAGAACAGCTAATTTTATTAGTAGGTAATAGGCATACTGGAGAAATTGCAAGCAAGAGTATAAGTAGCCCTTTTGTTATTTCCTTAAAAGGTGTCTTCTGCAGCTCCTTCAAGTACAGTTAGTTTGGGAAGTATCTTAGAATTTTTTTGAAGATGTCTGCAGGAGTTTGTGAGTATTTCATGATTGTAAAACTTGCAATAGTTGATTTTCATACATGCTCTGAATTCAACAACAAACTGCTTCAAAGGCCAGTTTGGACATTTAAATTAAGTCATGACAACAGTTTACATGAGCAGAACTCTACTCTTACTTTACTCTCCTTGAAATCACTGTCAGAGACTTTATGCTTTGACTGCTGTCGCGCAGGTTTATCCAGCAGAGGTCACCCTGAGATCTGTTGAGCTGAATCCTGCAGACTGTACACATGTACAGACTTCACTGAGCTGAAGCTCAGACAAGGTGAGTATAACTGTCAGGATGCCGTCAAACAGTGCCAATAAATGGATCTGAAGTATTAGCTGGAGAGGAAGAAGAAATAATATTGTGGAAATTCTGCTCATTTTTCATAGAATCTACACATCTGTTGTGCCTCTTTGTTTCTTTTAAGAAGTATACATATAATGAAGAATCAGCATTCCCTTTGCCTGATATAATTTCTAATAGTTTTTTGTGGGGGGGTTGGATGAAGTGTAACAGATGTAACTGTTGCAATTTCACCCTCTCAAGCAGAGAGCTATTCAAATCCTAAATACTGTAATACAACTTCAGTACCCACACAAAATAAATGTGCTGCTTCTAATGTGCTGCTTCTAATGTATGATAGATTAACTGAATTGAATCGATGATGTCTTCTTCACTATTTTTGCATCTCTGAATACAAAACATGAGTTTGTACCACAAGGGGTCATGCAGCATAACTAAGATTTCGTTTACAGTGATGTGCAGAAGTCTAAGACCACCCCTCTGTTTGCATTTTTGTTGTCTTGAACAATAGTTCCCAATTCTTTTCTAGTTTGTTGAACATTGGCTCAACTTTAGCTGCTTTCTCTCATTACTTATTTTCAGTCTAGTCCTTGTACCTGTCTTTGTCCTGGTTCAGAGGAATTATTTTGGTTTTCTCAAAAAGACTGATACTCTTCATCTGGACGTAGCGTTCTCAGTTGGAGAAACATTTCTTCAGTCGCTTGGATGAAAACAACTGAAAATGCTACATCCAGATGAACAGAATTAACCTTTTTGGGATTTCCTTACCTGGATGATTGAGCCTCCGTCAACATATTTTTGTTTTTAACACCACTAAACACCTGAGTCATTCATGCACAAAAAGATACCTAACTCAAGGGATGAATGAAACAATTTTAGATAGTAATAAATGTATAAAGATACAATCAGACTGTTCAAAAGCATAGAATTTCCCCAGTGTGGAAAATCTATCTTATCTCTCTATATGATTTCTTATTGAAACTGTGTGTTGGAGATCTTGTCAAAATTGAAAGAACGAAGAACATAGAAAACTACTGTCAGATTTTAGTCTGCTTTTCATCACCATTTGGAGCACATACTATTGGAAACAGATTCATTTTTCAGCATTAACAACCCAACAATCCCAAACACGCTGCCACACTTTTTAGAATAATTTTTGCTTCGTAATTTTAGTGCTCTTGCTGCAATGAGGGATGAGAAAGATAATTTTACTCCCATATTAGCTTCTCTTCATTGGCTCAGTGTTAAATCCTGAATTTAATTTGAAATTCTTTTCTTCACATATAAGGTGAAGGAAAAATCAAGCCCATCATATCTTAAAGGGGTCCTAGTTCCATATTGGCCCCAGAGCACTTTGCTAGGCTTTCCCTCCCTAAGCCTGGCTCTGCTCTATGTTTGCATGTTTCAATAAATGTCTGCACCTATTTCCCATTTTCTTAGGAAAATATAAAGAAGGGTGCCTCAAGAGTTTTGCAGAGTCCCTGCTTGGAACTGAACATGAGGATGCAGCATCTTGTTTGTGTGTTTGCTGAAGTGAGTTAGCGTCTGTTTTTTTATTATTTTTGTTTCACCTTTAGTTTTATGTAACAAACATTATCCTATGAGTTACCTCTCTTGGTAAATGTGATAGAAAAAACAATAATAATGCATAGTGTCCATAGTGTTCTAGGAAACTTTCTTATTGTCATTTCTTTGTTACCTGAAAAATATTTGTACACAAACAAAACACACAAAAACAAAAATACCTTGTCAGAGTTGAGACTCTGCAGTTTGAATACTTTTGTTACAGGATGTTTCCGTTTGAGCTCTCTACAGCCATTATAAAAATGACCAAAATAACTATACTTTAGATTGCATAGTTCTCTCTTTTAATTGAATCTTCAAATACAGTTGATTATTAAGTTATTGTATAGCTTTTGGAATGCATTATCTTTGCTCTGTTATTCTAAAATCATAAATATTTACATTTAAATTATGAAAGATATGGAAAATTTCCACCTATAAAGATCAAGGTTTCCCAAAGGAGCTATAATTATCTTGCACGTGTTTATAGCTCCATATTTCCGTTGCTGCCTCACAGATGTTATTTTCTGTTTATCTGACAGGAGCAACCGCAAACATGTTTTTAAAGGAAGCAAATGAGGAAAGTAGAACACATTCTTCATCTCACCGGGGCACTGACAAGAAAAACAAGATGTAGTGAACGGTTTCGACAAAAGCTATTGTGTAACTGCCTTCACTCAAACACCCTCAGTGGGTTTTTTTTTTTCATTGCTTAAGCATGCATTAAAAAATAGTTGCCATTTGACAGCAGCACAATTAACTTTACATTTCTTATCTGCTCCAACTAAAAAGATTCAAATAGAAATATCTGTTCCACATCAGACTTAAGAGCTGTTGTATGTGTTGTAATTTTATTGCTTTGGTTAACACAGAAATGGAAGTTTTTCCATCTGTTTGCTCATTGATGTGCAGAGCGGGGGGGTCGGTGCAAAGCTGCAGGTGCACACTGTGAGCCGGAGGTTGTGGTAAAGTGGAAGGTTGCACCTCCGTCGTTTCTCAGCACAGAGAGCGAGCTGCAGGCTGCTCTGTGACCACATCCTCTCCTCTGCTGTTGCACTTTACTCCTCTGCAGGGTTTCATGCCCTGGTTTGACTTTTTTGCTTTGACCTTCTTTAGTACACAGATGACTGTTGTTACGTGTACACTCACATTCTTATAGTTTCCTACTGACAGCTTTTTACATAAAGAGAATGTAAAATGTAATAAAACTGACTTATATGTGCAAAGTGAAAACAGAAACAATGAAAAACAGCCTACTTTAAAAAGGTCATTATGTATTTAAAATAGCAACGTTTCTCAGAAAATGTACATCACCTTTCAATTTCTTTTTGACCAAAAATGAACCAACTTCTGAAGCTTTTCTGAGTTGAGATGCTTGATTATTATGTAGGAAGAAAAGGAACTGACTTCTCTGAAAACAGTCATGATCGGCAAACAGGAAAGAATGCATTTTATCGCTGGAAAAAATCTTGTTCTGTGTGAGGTGAGATGTGGGTGCAGAGAGGGGGAAAAGGCAAAGTCAAAAGGAAAGAAATGACTGAAAAGATCTTCTCATAAATGTTTATTGATATGAAAATGAAGCATTAAGTGGAAATTGTTCAGCAAGAATACAGCCAGTGTTTCATAAACACAATAAAACAAAACTAAAATTAGCCAAACTTACTTTAATACTATATGAAGATTTAACATTTTTGCATAGACCTGCATGCATCTTTTCCTCTATGCAAATGGCCTGCAGCGCACAAAGTTGTGGCAATAAAATCAGCATCTTTTATAATTTTTATTTACAAAAAACATAAATGATCCAAGTCCCAAATCTTTGGTCAGTCCACAGCTCAGCTCTTATTTTTTACGTTTTCCTGGTGAACTCTGTAACACACATAAAGGACAATCTGTGTTAATGCCAAGCAAACAATTATATTTGTTTTTATTTTTGTTGTTTTAATTTTTTTTAGGACAATGTAATGTAATTGGAGTTCATGTTCAACAAACCTGCAGCCTCCAGACCAAAAATCCAACAAAGGCTCCATAGAGGCAGCTCTTGAAGATAAAAACGGCGTAGGAGAGTTTGGCTTTATTTGTGATCCTCAAATATTTCTCTGTAAAAGAATAAATAAATAAATATCACAGGGGAAATGTTCAGTGTACTTTGTGGAGGCAGTTTTCAGTACAGATTGTGTTTAGACTTTTAGAAAATTCAAATTTAACAGTCTCTTACATACACTGATTTTAAGTTTGTGCTTGTGATGATGATTTGAACTGTAATAAAACCACAAAATATGTATTTACCTCTTCCCATGCCTCCATCTTCTTTATCTAATGGAAGAATAAAATAAATTAGAAAAGAATACATTCATTTCCCATGTCATCAATTATGGATCATTTTGTGCTCCTAAACTTACCTTCAACACCAGATATTTCACCAAAATGTTTGGTGGTGCCCGTTCCATTGTTGAAACTGACAATGCAGGAAAAGTTTTTTCCCTCCGTGTACCAATCTTTAGCAGAAACTCTCAACCTGCTTGTGATTCTATAGGATACAGGGGGGGTTTCAATCCGCTCTGCAGCTTCATCTGTTGCCACACCATCAGTGACATTTTTCCCATTCACTTGCCAATACACTTCGACATGGTCAGGGTAGAAACCAGAGGCCACACAGACGAGGGTCTTCTTCCTTTTTTTGTCTTTGCTGTTTCTGCACTCATGTTTTGAAGGTTCCAGTATTTTTACTTGTGGTGTAGTGATTTTACTGTTTTCTTCTGCAAGGACAAAGGACAAAGAAGAATCACATTAACACACATGACTAAAACTGCCTTTAGATCTTGTGCACATGCCAGGCAAACATAAACATTAACACACAAAAACATGCAGGCCAACTTTTTTTCCACACATATTAACACAAAGGATGAATTCAGATTAGAAAACTCGCATTTTCTTTATTACAAAATTATTGTGGTGATCTTACCCAGAACTGTTAGCTTGGTTCCCTCTCCAAAATAAGGAGGATAAGTGCCAGAGCACAATGCCAAGTCACAGCCACAAAAACTCACAAGACTTAGAACACTTGGATTCACCTCATTCACATGCAAAACGATTACTCTGCCATGTGCAATTTAAATCACTTTTTAATGAAACAAACTGCACTTTTCTGCCAGCTGTTCCATAACACAAATCTTCCAGACTTGAGGCCATTTTTGTTTTTTTAAAATATCACAGTTTTCGGACACATTCTGAGACGTTTACTCATTAAAATGCAATTTAAAGGTTTATAGCATGGATGACGACATCTTTACATCTCTAAAAACAAGTATTTATGCACTATTCTTACCCAGTACTGTGAGTTTGGTGCCACTGCCAAAGTAAGCAGGGTCGTAGTTGTTCACACTGATAAACTGCTGTAGAAAAAACTGCTCTAGAAAGCTGCTGTCTGTCTTTGTTCTCTTTTTCAGTGCTAAACAACTTTTACACCCAAACATATAGAAAAGACCTGAGGAAAATCATCTGCTTGTAGCATTATTAAGCAAATTTTGACCATGCAAGAGAATTAATTTTGGAAATGCACAAATCTAAAATAACAGACATTGAAACCAACTAATTTACAGAAGGATCCCAATGACTATTTCATCAGAAATTATTACTTTAATGTTAATCCATCTTTGCACTCTTACCTAAAACAGTGAGTTTAGTTCCAGCTCCAAAATAAGCTTCTGACTGGGAACTCACAGTATTTCACAGAGCTGATAAGAACTGAGTGTGAGAACAATATTCTGGGCGCAGAGCCAAACGTTTTATAGGCACAGTACTTTAACTGGAGAACACAGATACCACTTTTTTCTCCTGGCACAAGAAAACTTCTACAAGAAAACTTCATGTTTTAAACTTCTTTTGCTGAGTTTTGTTGCAAGTTTTCTTACCTAAAACAGTGAGTTTAGTTCCAGACTTTGTACTGTGACAAAAACCCTTTCTAGTGCCTCTCTTTGCCACATGGAAATGATTCCAACTGTCACTTTTTTACATGTAAAGACTTTGACTTTAGCTACCTGAGTTTTTGGTGTAAATTTAAAGAGGTAGATTTTTTTAGAGGCAGCTCAACACAATCAGTCCTCAAAATTATTTAGTGAACTTTGAAATGTTTTCTTACCTAAAACAGTTAATTTTGTTCCTCCACCAAAGTGAGCCTCTGAAGTTCCATAGTCACAGTGCACCTGATCAGTGCTCAAAACAGCTCAACACATGCTGCTTCTGCTTTGCTCCTTAATTCTTTGCTTGCTTTTAATGAACCAAATGTTGCTTTTCTTTAAATTAAAAATCCCACATATGCTGCACTGCTCTTTTTGTTCCAAGTTTTTACAAGTTTAATATAATGCAAAATGTTTGTGTTTGTTTTTTCAGGTAACACTTATTCTTTAATTGGTTTTCATTTGAAACATTTATGAGAATACATTTTGATTCATCACTTACCAAGAACAGTTAGTTTTGTTCCCTGCCCGAAATAAGCTTCGTTCTGACACAGCATTTAAACCTCAGAGCAAAAAGCCCTGAGCTGAGACTACAGAGAACTCAAACATATTAAGCTTGTTCAAAAAAAGACTCCACTCCAGGGATAACTAAAATAACATGTTTGGATTCATGTATCCAAGACCTTACTGCAGACATACATATACTCATGTATAGTTTTTATTTCTTACCTAAAATGGTTAATTTTGTTCCTCCACCAAAGTAAGCCTCTGCACCAGTACCAGAGTCACAGTGAAGTTAATTAGTGCTCAAAACAGCCCAACATGCTGTTTCTACTTTGCATCTTCATTTCATTTTATCTTCTTCATAAAAACTAATGAAGTTTCCTTTTACTTTTCTTTAAAGTAAAAATCTACATATATTTTTACAGGTTTAAAAGCCAAACCCCTTACTGAAACACTTTTGTCAGCTTTAACTAGTTTAACTATGTTTATGAAAAGACATTTAGATTTTTCACTTACCAAGAACAGTCAGTTTTGTTCCCTGGCCGAAATAAGCTTCATAATTGGCACAGTGTTTAAGCTTCTGAACAAAAAGCACTGAGCTCAGACTATAACGAGTCCAAGTACAGTAAGTTTGTTACCAAGCTGCTCATGTAAGAAAGTTTTTTATATTAGTTATTCCTCTGGCCCAAATCTTATTACAAACATTATGTGTCATTTTTCTTTCTTACCTAAAACAGTTAATTTTGTTCCTCCACCGAAGAAAGCTTCATAACCACCAGTGGCACAGTGAACTTAATCTGTGCTCAAAACATCACGATGCTTCTTTCACTTTGCTTCTTTAAGCATTTAAGCTACTATTAAGGAAAGAAATCTGAAGCAACAGCTGCCCTTTAACATGTTTTAATTATTTCTGTGTTGAATTCATGTGAGAGAAAAGTTTTACTTACCAAGAACAGTCAGTTTTGTTCCCTGACCGAAATAAGCTTCTCTATCAACACAGCGCTCAGGCTTAATGTCAAAAAGCACTCTAAACATCTGAGCTCCTTACATTTCTTTTTGCAGCTTCACCCTTGAACATCTTCATGCATTTATTTGATTATTTTCATGCTTTACTTACCTAATACAGTCAGTTTGGTTCCTTTTCCAAAATAAGCAGGATTGCCCATGGTCACAGTGCAAAATACTCAGCATGAAACTCTTTCTCTACCACACTTCTCTTTGGGAATAATCTTTGCTCATACTTCTGCCAGCACTTTTACTAATCCTCTAAACAAACCAATATTCATCCAACACAGAGAATAAAGTGAAATATTTACCTAAAACAGTCAGTTTGGTTCCTTTTCCAAAGTAAGCAGGATTCGCTGTGTCACAGTGCAAAATACTCAGCATGAAACTCTTTCTCTACCACACTTCTCTTTGGGAATAATCTTTGCTCATACTTCTGCCAGCACTTTTACTAATCCTCTAAACAAACCAATATTCATCCAACACAGAGGAAAAAGTGAAATATTTACCTAAAACTGTCAGTTTGGTTCCTTTTCCAAAGTAAGCAGGATTGCCAGTGTTCACAGTGCAAAATACTCAGCATGAAACCCTTTTTGTTCCAGAATAACCTTTGACAAACGTCTTTGATAATACTTCTGACAACACTAAGGCTCTAATCAAAATTGCATTTATCAAAACACAGAAATAAAGTGAAATATTTACCTAAAACTGTCAGTTTGGTTCCTTTACCAAAGTAAGCTTCGTTAGCATTGTCACAGTGCAAAAATACTCAGCATGAAACTCTTTTCACGCCTGAGGGTTGTGTTTACTTATAATCCTGTCAATACTAAGCCTCTGATGAAAGGTACATTTTTGGAACAGAGTAGTGAAGTGAAATATTTACCTAATACAGTCAGTTTTGTTCCTTTTCCAAAGTAAGCTTCGCTGCCCTGACACAGTGCAAAAACACTCAGCAAGAAACTGTTTTTGCACCAGAATTATCTCTGAGGATTGTCTTTACTAATAATCCTGTCAGTAATAAGCTTCTGAATAAAGGTACATTTATCAGAACACAGAAATAAAGTGGAATATTTACCTAAAACTGTCAGTTTGGTTCCTTGGCCAAAGTAAGCAGGTTGGTTGTTGGTCACAGTGCAAAATACTCAGCATGAAACTGTTTTTCTATTAGACAATAGTCTTTACTAATACTCTTGTCAATGCTAAGGCTCTAAACAAATTTACAGTTCACAAAACACACCAGTAAAGTGAAATATTTACCTAAAACTGTCAGTTTGGTTCCTTTGCCAAAGTAAGCAGGTTCAGTGTAGGTCACAGTGCAAAATACTCAGCATGAAACTTTTTAGATCTGACTAATCTTTGAAAATCCTATTTACTAGAAGTTTTCTCTATACTAAGGCTCTAATTAAAGTGACATATAAGAAAACACAGTACTGAAGTGAAATATTTACCTAAAACTGTCAGTTTGGTTCCTTGGCCAAAGTAAGCAGGTTCAGTGTAGGTCACAGTGCAAAATACTCAGCATGAAACTGTTTTTGTATCCGAATCCTCTCTAAGGATAGTCTTCATGGATACCTCTGTTTATACTATGGTTATAGTTAAAGTCATATTTATCAAAAACTGTTGTAAAATGAAATATTTACCTAAAACTGTCAGCTTGGTTCCTTTGCCAAAGTAAGCAGGGTAGTTGTTGGTCACAGTGCAAAATACTCAGCATGAAACTCTTTTTGTATCAGAATGATGTTTGACAATAGTCTTTACTAATACTCCTGTCAATGTTATGGCTCTAAACAAATTTACAGTTCACTAAACACACCAGTAAAGTGGAATATTTACCTAAAACTGTCAGTTTGGTTCCTTTGCCAAAGTAAGCAGGTTGTGTGTTGGTCACAGTGCAAAATACTCAGCATGAAACTCTTTTTACACCAGAATAACCTTTAGTTAGTATTAATGAACATTTATGTTAACACTGAGGCTGTAGCCAAAGTCATATTTGTCAAAAAATGGAAGTAAATTTTTACCTAAAACTGTCAGCTTGGTTCCTTGGCCAAAGTAAGCAGGATCATTGTAGTTCACAGTGTTCTCTGTTCAGCTTAATATTTCTGCTGTTTTTAACAACAAATTTTTCCTTCACTCTTATGCTGACATTTACACCCTTTTAATTATAATCGACTGAACCGAAGCTTTGAGATATCCAACTTACCTAAAACAGTGAGTTTTGTTCCTTTTCCAAAGTAAGCTTCAGTTCCAGAGTCACGCTGATGTCGCCCTCTGCAAAAAACTTTCAAATCTTTCCAGAAACATCCAGTTTACATGTATTCTAATAATTCAGATGGTCTTTAAAGGCTTAAAACATCGAGGGTGAGCTTCACATTGTCCAAATTTGTTTAGTGTGGCAAGATGACAGCACAGACATCCTAATGTTGCTCCTATGAACAACAAGTTAGAAAAAAAAAATTTCCATTAAAATTTCTACATTTAAACAACTTTTCACTACCAAAGTGTTCCTCCATCCCAGACACCTTCAGATTAGTGATTTTTCCGCTCTAACAACGTTTTAAGTTGCATGTAGCAGTCTTCACAATGCATTTTAATGGGAGGAGGTTTTTGTACGACGGCTCTATGGGATTGTATCACCGTG